AGTTCCGCTCTCAAATTGAAGAGGATCTCGTCCAGTTCAAGGTTTGCTTATTGACTTCATTCGAGCAGTATTTAGGTAAAACTGGTAGTATCACTAAAGAAATAAAAGCCTTTCAGACATATGCTGACGATGCATGGGAGGTGATGATGACCACAAATCAAGCCCTGGCAGCCAAGCGGAAGAGCGCCTTCTACGAGTCCATTGTTCGTATAAAAAGGCAGGGAGCATATTCAGAAGGATATCAGGGACCATCTGCGGGAGTGGGTAGCTTTTCCTCCTCAGGAACTGCATCATATGGATGTCAATGCGCGGCCCAAGCTGCATCGTGTCCTAGAGGCCCACCTGGTGAGGAGCATCCAACTGAATTACTCGGCTAGATGAAATTCAGTACTGTCTATTCAGGACCTCCCGGACAACCAGGATCACCAGGAGAAGACGGTTACCCTGGACAGCCTGGAAGTCCAGGCAACGCTGGTCAAGCTAGCGTTGGACTTCATCAACAAGGATGCATTCAGTGCCCAGCTGGACCTCCTGGTCCACCAGGACCAGACGGCGGGCCTGGCCCAGCAGGAGCTCCAGGCAATCCTGGACAAGATGGACAAGGTGGTGGAGCAGGTAGGCAAGGAACAAGCCTTATACGCCTGATTGTACAATAACGGAACAATGCGATATTTTAGGCGCCCCCGGACCTGCTGGTCCCGCCGGAGCACCTGGACCAAATGGAAATCCCGGCGCACCAGGACAAGATGGAGCACCTGGAGCTCCAGGTAACAGTTTTGAAGAGACTTATTCAATTAAAAACTTTACCTCTTTCATGAAAATTTTTCAGGAACCCGTTCGACTAGCTTCCCTGGTCCAGCTGGTGCACCAGGACCACAAGGAGCTCCTGGAGCACCAGGTCAACCTGGCAGCAGCTTTGGCGCTGGGACACCAGGACCGGCCGGACCACCCGGTGCTCCCGGTAACCCAGGAGCGCCAGGAAGTCCGGGAGCACCTGGACAACCAGGCACTGATGGAGCTCCCGGATCGGACGCTGCTTATTGTCCCTGCCCACCAAGAACTGGTTGAGTTGGTTGCGAGCAAGAAATCCACTCTGCATAACGTATGCCATGTCTGCAGTAACAATAAATTTAGCACTCATGTTGTTTCTTTGCGTATTTACAGAGCACTTACTGACCATTCGTATGTTTAGTCTCTTTCGCCAGCTTGTGCATCAGACAGAGTATTAACTGAGGAGCTCTTGCTTGTATGGCGACTTTTTTATACAGACTCGCGACATCGTCAACACCTCTGCTTACCACTTTATTTACCATGGTTCTTCTACCTCATCAGGACTTACCAAACTTCCTATCCACCAGTTTTTGAGAAAAAGTGAGCTGTCGTTGAGTAGGGGGTGGGGTTGCTTCCTGATGGGATGTACTTTACATGACGATGCAGAGGATCATCGAAAACAGAGCACAGCTGCAATGGGGATGTTCAACGAGCCAGTAGGACTTCCCATGGGAACTGGAACTGTCCAACCCCACTCCTTCTCTATTCATACCATCAAAAGGTGTAGAAAGGCGCGAGGGTATACTCGAAAAATTCGAAAGTACCTTCCGCGGATAACTAAGGTTATAACCTCTAAATGCTATACTATCCACTAGGCGATTGTAGAGATTGAAAGAATCAGAGGAAAATTACAAGGATTTCCAAAGAGGACGAAGCTGAACAGTTAGGCCCATACCCTTAGGGCTCGTGCTAACTCCAATGGCTTCTAGCTAGTAACTGATAGCCACATTCACCATTCTAAGAGTGATTTGATAAAGAAGAGCTGATTTCATTAAGATAGCAACAAGTGGAAATTAGTACAAACCTCCCCCTTCACTTCACTCTATGTAGCTAGCATCGGCAGAGGGTCTTATGAAGCACTGATATGTGATTTCTGCTTTTTGCTTTATCCAATAACTTAGTAGTTTGCCTCTCGTATTCAGGCTGCAATACCCACCAAATATGATTCGCAGGCTTTACACTTTAACTTGGATCTACTCCTATACTGTGGGACTCTTCAAAAAAAAGTGAAAGAAAAATAAACTATTCAATCCATTTACAATAAACAGTTCTTCATAATTCATCTCCGAAAAACATAGTGAAAATCGACCAGGATCGACCTTCTCTTAATCTTGGCATTGTTGTAGTTTCAAGCTAGTGGATAATTTCAGCCGTCCAAGATTTTTATAATTTATGGTTTATTGGCCAACGTTTCGGCTTCCTCGCCTTCGTCAGGGCCTGAAGAAGTCCAAAACAATTGAGACTGTTCCCTCGAAGGCCCCACAAGAACATAAGACCATTTCGATATCCTAGCAAACCCTCTAGCGGTATGGAATCGATAAAAGATGGCTTACCTTGGTCTCACCCGCAATGATCGACCACCCAAAGCTGCAGTACAACTAACAATGAGCTTACACCTCTACTGCCCGCGCCATCCATTGGTAGATCAAAAAACCCATAGGAGTCGACGAAGGCGCCGAGTTCACGTGTTATGATTACACATTCCTATCCATTCTTACGCGTAAAATTTCTATCGCACCCAGTTTTTTGAGAAAAGTGAGCCTGTCGCTGAGTAAGGGGGTGGGGTTGCTTCCCTAATGGGATGTACTTTACTTGACGTGATCAGAGAGAACTCGTGAAAACAGACACAGAGCTGCAGAGGGATGTTCAACCGACCCAGTAGAGTTCGCCATGGGAACATTGGTAAGATAGGTGAAATGCTTTTTCTCCTCAACTCCCTTACTGATTACTTAGAGGGGGAAAAGGAATATTCTAACCTGTTAGTTGTTCATCTAGAATCATGTGAGAAACGGTACATGAACCATTTAAACCCCAACCTCTTTAATTTCAAAGAATACCTATTTATTAGGTTGGCGCGAGGGTTCTGTCACATCGGCTTTTTTTCAAATTAGACTTTCTTTTTACAGAGAGGCGTACAAGATCAAAATTATACAGCAATGTTATTGAGAGATCCTTGCCAGTTTTTGGACAGTTCGTGGATGCCATCGCTTAACAATGCACGCCGTTGGACACCATATCACAACTTGACTTGGGCTAATGTCGTGGAGGTCTTCTCGGCTGTGTAACAGTCAAGTACGGCAGGCGAAACTAGCAATCAGAAAAAGCCCACATGTCTGGGCTACACTACCGGTGCGAGGTAGAGCCGTCCAGCTCTATAGCATGGCTTCGGCTCGAACTTTTTTGGACGGAGTGGGCCACACCAGCACGTTGAAGACGGACTGTGCCGGCGAATTTTTTCCCTCTGCTTGACGGTTCGCTTCAGATCTCGTAGCTGCTTTGCGTACGGATTCGACCGAGGAGGCAGCTTCTTCATCCAGTAGTTTCCCGACCCACCGCTATCTAGAGCTGAGTTTACAGGTACTCCCGAACCTCACTTCGTCATTCGAACCGTAGGCTCCCGCTCTGAAGAGCTAGCGTCGTGGAAGATTGTCTGATGACTGTAGACATTGTCCTTGTGCAGCTCCATTATTTCGGCGTCGACAGCTGCCATGCTGGCGCCAGGTGGTAGAAGAAATAGTCCAAGGAAGCGCTTGAAGGGGTCGGTGGCTGATAGGTAGGCGATAACATTCTTGTCCATAATGCCAGAATAAGGATGAGTAGGAGCTAAGCCAGTGACACTATAGAAAGATCAATCCTTAATGTATAAATGCTCACATTACCGGTTAGCCCTCTTCAGGTAACAGGCGAATACTTGGGTTCAAAAAAGTATGACAGAACTTTCCCACCAACCTAATATAAAGGAACTATTTGAATAAGCCAATAAATTATGTCATTTCTTACAGCTGATCTATAAAAAGTCATTGGCAGCAGATATGAAGTCGTGGGGTCCAAACTGTGATATATAGTCGCGAGTACTTCGAGATTCACTCCACTTTTACAGTCAGGATTTCGGGTCCAAATATGAGCACGTGTGCTAGTTGAGTTTCCCATCGAAGAAACAAGTGGACAAAACCATTGTGAATGCCCTAAATTGAACATCAGGAACAGATGACTATCGAAGAAACGAAACGCTGCTGTTAGTGGGAGAAACCTGGGTGTCCGAAACAGGATTCAGCATCGTTGTGTAAAACCCATGGGGGGGGGGGGTCGTACCTGGCCGATGGAGAGGGGGGTCGTAATCTCAAGGGTCACTCAGAGCCGAGCAATGGTTCGACATTTCAGTTGATAGTGGGAGAAATAAAAGAAAATAAAAGAAGAAAAGAAATGGGTCTTTACTTGGCCGCGGGGAGAACGTGGGAGTAATCGCAGAAGTAGGCTCGCTAGGCATCAAACAGTACAAAGGTCTAAGGGTAATGGAACGGACGGAAAGCTTCAGAAGACCCGGATGTAAATAGGAATACAAAATAATAAAAGATTTATTAGCAATATAGCAAGAATAAATAAATAAATAAATAAGTGTCAGTTTATAGCATGAACTCGTAAGTACGTAGATGACTAAATAATCAAACAGATTCGTGCGTGTTGTCCTTTACAAACCCTAAACAAACATCTGCTTGCATGGATAAAAGCACCTGAAAATCAATTTACACCTTTCCACCACCTCTGCGTAGGAGCCTAAATGCACGCGCAACGGACGCAAATTCGATCAGAGATAGCGAGCTTTCTCTTTCAACGTATTTGAAGGGAAGAATATCGTACTTTGAAGCACACTGAAGTTTCCGAAGTGTACCTCAAAACAATGCACTATAAGGCAATTTTCGGTGGTAGAGGGTGCATCTGTGACCCATCTAAAATATCTCCTGAACTAGTGGGTCTTCAGAAAAACTGTAAAGCTTATTGGAAAGAGAAAAGATGGAGGGGTTTCAAGACGACTTCAGTCCTGATGAAATTGCGTTTGAACGAAGCAGTCCTTGTGTGAATCATGCGAAAACCAAAGCTCGCGGTTTACCCCTGGCCGAACCGTGACCCATCCGGAATATTTCACCAACGGGGGATTGTTCAGTTTGCACTAGGTAGAATACACAATAGTAGAAACTTTGCCGTTGCATGCTGCTCACCATTCCTCAAAAGCTCCGCACCTAAAAAAGATATAACCCCCGAACAGACCCCAGGACGTTGGCAAGTCCAACAAACCGCGCTCCAATGACGTTTTTCCAAAGAAGCGGTTGCAGCCTTGCGCCCTGCAGCCTGATCGATAATAGCCAAGTATGGAACGATTTACTGCCGGCCTGGTTATCCTTTTTCATTTAGCTCTGCATTTTTTGTATTTTCCATGTTTCGCTTTGTTGTGTCGTGCATGTTTTCATTATTTCCCCGTCACCATTCATTGAATGCACATCTGGGCCCTGACACGCTCACCTTGGGGCTATTTTTTTTTCACCAATTCAGCCTATCAATGATCACCCCATTAGCCGCTATTTCAATTGTGTTCCTTGTCACAAGTTGTCATACATAGTTATCGAACGAGGAGTTTTATTTTGAATCCTAAGACAAAATTGTAGGTAATGCGAGGCTGTTGTTCAGCCTCATATTGCATGAGGCTGAAACAGCCTTTTATTTCCTGTATTTTAGAGCAGAGTGCGCCTTTCGAGAATCCAGATTCCATTTCAGGAAGCCATTTGTGGTGAACATGCATCTGGTTGTCAGTTAGAGCAGGAGGGGGGGGGGTCGTACCCACACCGCCATTTGACACATCCCCATGGCTGTACCCTGGTATGAGGCGATATGAGGGTAGCAGACAGCTAGTACCCTCCTA